ATGAACTCAGACTATCTTCTACTGTGTTGACATGTTTTGAAAGAGAGTTGTAACCCATTTCGCTTTGGGTGCAAGACAGAAACCACAGCCAGATGGAGGAGGGGTGTGAGCAGTGAATAGATGAGATTGGTATAGAGGCAACAAATTAGAAGACCAAGTTGGTCTTCAACTTGGTGCCAGCAAGTAGTTTTTCAGAGGACATGGTAAACTTATTAGTCACCTGGACTTGGATTGATATCCTGAAGAATAGTCTGATAGGTGAATGTATGTGGGAGGAAAGTTAGAGATTGAGGCAGATGGCAGTGGGGAAGTGTGTCATTATAGTAAGGCTGTCTTGGTTATGGCAACATACGTTGTCCGCTTACTGATGTCTTGGTTTCTAGAACATCTGTTTGGGTTCTAAGGACTAGACTTAAGCAACTGGAAGAGTTGGCTAATGCCCAGTGGGTCGCAAAGATGCCCTAGAATGCTCACCTGTGTTTGTTGGATTATAGACTTTGGGAAGAAGACTAATTCTAGATCCCACCTGCTGAGATTTGGAGCTGTCAGGATAGTCTCAGTTTGGGTTGGGAAAGATGAGGTTCAGTCTGATCATTTGTATAAAGTGATTGTCTTATGGGCTTGATTGTATCGAGCACATACTGACATTTAGAAACTTTTTTTCTAGCCTGTATAACCCTTTTCAAGGGCAAAGTTGAAAGACCAGACATGATCAAGTGATACTTTATTCATTTCAACATCTGAAATAAATTCACCATGATGAAAGGTACAAAAGCATTTACTGAGTAATTCTATCTTTGTGTTTTTTTTTTTTTTTTTTGAGACAGAGTCTTATGTCACCCTCAGTAGAGTGCTGAAGTGTCACAGCTCACAGCAACCTTAAATTCTTGGGCTTAAGCAATTCTCTTGCCTCAGCCTCCCAAGAAGTTGGGACTGCAGGTGCCTGCCACAATACCCGGCTATTTTTTTGTTGCAGTTGTCATTGTTGTTTTAGCTGGCGCAGGCCAGGTTCGAACCCTCCAGCCTCTGTGTATGTGGCCGGCACCCTACCCACTGAGCTATGGTCGCTGCCCCCCCCCCTTTTTTTGACGTAGAGTCTCACTCTGTCTCCCCTGCATAGAGTGCCATGATGTCATAGCTCACAGCAACCTCAAACTCCTGGGCTTAAGTGATTTCTTTCTCTTAGCCTCCCAAGTAGCTGCAACTACAGGCTCCTGCCACAATGCCTAGCTAGTTTTTTCTATTTTTAGTAGAAACAGGGTCTTCGTTTGCTCAGCCTGGTCTTGAACTCCTGAGCTCAAGCGATCCACTTCATGCTCCCAGAGTGCTAGGATGGTAGGTGTGAGCTGCCTTTCATGGCCTTGAGCAACTCTTTTTGTGCTTGACGCCTACACATATGGGAGGGAGTGGCTAATCCTTGAGAGGTTATAAATTAGTATTAAAAATGATACAAAAGTAATAGACAATTACGTGATACATAATGATTCTCAGTAATATACTCTGTTATTAAAATATATTGTTACCTATCAGTAAATGACTACTTAGAAGATAAGACTTAGAAACAAATTTGGGGAGTCTAGTTAAATATTAAAACCCACAAGGAATCAAGAGAAACCAAGGGAAGTTTAATCTCTCTCATTTTCCCCCCATTTTTTTTTTTTTTGTGGGGGGCAATTCTCTAATAAAGCATCATGATTTACTTTGGTCCATTGGAAATAAAGGTAAAATCAAAACACAAGATACGCCTCTTTTCATAGGGTTATTGCTTGGTACTACATGTTTTAGGAACATTATGAAAAATATAGGAACATATGTAAAAATACAAATGGAAGTGATGGAAAGGCTAGAAAGATTTGCAGGGAAAATGATCTTTGTCTCCACTGAGACTCGAACAGGAAAATAATAATAGTAAATTGTGAGAAAAGCATTTCAGAACAAATTTCTAACCAACAGAAGGGCCCGAAAGCCACCAAAGAGACATGCTAAGAAATAGTAGGATTTCTTCTTTGGAGAGTTTTAGGAACAAACAGTACTGTCTTCCAATCATGGCTTCATGTCTGTCCTCCCCAAAGGCGTGTGTACTTGAAACCTTTCCTGGCCCCGTAAGAAGAAGATTCTATGGTTCTGATGAGATTGTGTGCTTTAGAACCACTTCTCCTGGAGGGGAGACACTAAAGGGTACTTGAATAAAGTATTAAAAATTATAAAGGACATAACGAAGGCCAATCAGTTCTTTCTTTTCCCCAGACCCCATAATGTGAGAACAAGGGTTACTGGATGAAATTAAAGAGTAGCAAATTAAGTGCTAATAAAATGAGATAGTCACTTATATAATTCATTGCCATGGGAGGTCACAGAAGCAAACTTTGTGGCTAGATTAAATATGGGGCCGGATGATTTTATGGCTGCTAATGATATTTTTAGCAGGTGAGGCTGTTATTGTGAGAGAAGTAACCCTATTACATTCTCCAATAGATGGTTTTCAAGGACCTCTGGCAAGTGATGTCTGAGAAGGATGAGAGCAGGCCTTGTAGTTCCTAACCTTTGGTAGAAATGGTGCTAAAAATTGGTTTTTAAGGAGAACGTCCTCAAACATCTCATTCATGCTTCAGTCCCAACTTTTATTTTGGAGATCCAAAAGTCCCCTCTAATCAGAAGCAATTAAAAAAGAATTGCCCAGAATTAGATCATTTCTGGTCTTTGGGGAACAACCTGTTTGTTCAATGGCACCCATGTGTGGAGTATTTTGCATGGAGTCTTTAACATCTGTTAGAGCTATGAACATTTAGACACATCAGTGCCATTCTTACTGAAGGGATCTGCACCAAAAGTAGACTGCAGGGTTGCATGGAAGCACAAAGAAGCATAGCCGCATCTCAACCTGTGAGGTTCCAGGGAGGCAAGCCGAGAAGGTGACATTTGAACTGAGTCTTAAAGGAGAAGTAGAAGTTCACTCTACAGGACAGGTAAGGAAGGGAATTCCTAGGTGAAGGAACAAATAGGGTGCACAGGTCCAGAGACAGAACATGACACATGTATCAGGGAATGGCCAGTAGTTTGGGAAAGCTGTCCCTGGAGTTGGGGCCAGGGAGAGGATGGGCATGTAGAGGATGAGGATGCCAGATGGTGAAGGGTCTTGGTCTTGCCTGAGACCTTCCCAGCAGAGTACTAGTGTTTCCAGTGGTGACAGTGGTGGAGGGTGCAGAGCAGACAAAAGGGGAATGTCCTTTGACCCCCTTTAGGCCTCTCTCCAGCGAGTGAAAGGCCTCCTTCTTTCTGATCACTGTCAATAGTTACTTGGTGGTGAGCTTGGTAGTTCATGCAACTCCCTGCTTCACTCATTTTTCCTGTCTGCTTGGAAAAATTTCATAATCTTGACCATGAACCTAATCACCATTAAGAGTCTCTCCTATGTTTAGAAAGAGGGAGGTTCTTACAGGTCTTACATAAATGGAGTTGAGTCTAGTGTGTCCATCTGATTTGATTCCCTTGGGCTCTGCTAGAACAAAATCAGTCTCAAAGAAGAGGCAGACTTCATTAGCCTGACCCCACACTCCCACTTTCTCTTGTGAAGTTGGCTCAGCAAAGAAGCATGAAAACATACAATGTCTTGCAGGAGCAGGAGCAGATGGATGGAAATGTTAAAAATCTGTTTTGTTAAGTGATTTCAGCTAAGAAAATAATTTAATTAGAGAGGAAAAAAGCAGCAAAACTCTATTCCTTCTTCACTGATATTTAAATAAGAATATCATTTTAATCACTTTGGAATCTCACTTAGAATTTCTACACCATTAATATGTTATTGATACCCTTTAAGAAGCATCAAATGGAAATGAGAGAAAGAATGTCTCTTATAAGCATTGGTTTTCTTGGTGGTCCTATCTGTGTGGTGAATGCAAATACTTTATTATTATTTGTATTTTTAGGTGATACAGTATGTGGTCAGCAATTTCTCCCATTACATTAAAAAGAGTTGTGCAATTGGAACAATTTTCTAATGGGTAGCCTTTTTCACAGCCATCTTTTAAGGGTCTTTTAAGAAGATGTTCTGTAAAAACATAGAGTTGCCAGAGAGGTGTAGAAATGAGCTTAGTTACAGAAGGAAAATGTGTACATGCCTAATTTGCTGTGAGGCCACCTATGTTATAAGATAGGGATGGATGGTGTTAGACACTCAAACACAATAACATCAGGTCTCACAGTATAGTAAGTACAAGGAATAATTTCATCATGACGCCCTGATGAATTAAATACAAGTTCTGTAATAGACATATATCCAAATGTTAGCTCTGTCTGGGCATCTGACAGTGTTCTCACAAGAGTTAACATTTAGACTGGGTCTTAAAGTAGAAATTACAGTTACTCAAAAGAGAAGAGAGGGCAGATCAAGGTAGGCGAGAACATTGCCAAACACAAGCAACAGAATGTATTTTGAAACTTTGAACAGCTTGTTTTTCCTTTCCTTTTTTCTAAGTTCTATTATACTAATGTTGTTATTTCTAAAACATTTTGAATTATTCTCCTTTGGAGAAAGAATGAGCTGTATCCTCTTAGCATCTTGTAGATATTAATCTTGTCAGCAAGGGGGTGGTGATCAACGATTCCTTTAAGTCTGGACATTAATTCACTTAAGTATTTATTAATCATTTTCTCTCCTGAGTTAGACACTCACAAATAAGTCTTTGCTGTCAGAAGTGAGGTACGTGGTGCGGGTAAACACACGTTTCCCCCTCCTCATTTTTACACGTCTGTGTTATGAATCAATACAGGTTCTTCTAGTTCCACATGTACTTGATTTAACTTGAAGTAGGCTTTTTGATGACTGGGCTTCCTTCAACAAGGTTATTTATTTGTATTATAGTTGTGTGAAAGAGAAATGAGCTTTAAAAGAGCGTTGATGGCCAATGAGAAATGTATCCTTTCAAGGACCATGTGAAAATAGGTGACTAAATTTAATACAGCGTTGAAGTTTCAACAAGTGTTGTTTCTTTCCCCTTTAGACCTCAGCTGGATCTCCAAAGTACAAGTGAATCATCCTGCAGTCCTGAGGCGCGCGGAACAGATCCAGGCCCGCAGAACTGTGAAGAAGGAGTGGCAAGTAAGGGCTCTCCTTGAGCATTCTGTCCCTGTATTTTACAGCGCGAGCTCTCTTCCCTCAAGGCCACAGTATTGAATTTCGCTCAAGATGTATCTAAACTTAAAAGATTGCAGCTGTCCATGACTTATTTTAATAATTCATATATGATGATGATGGGTTGGAGAAAGATAACACATTTATCCAAACAAGTTAAAAATCTTATCACTCTTGAGTGGCAAAACCGCAAATGAATTTGAGGCATCTTTATTCATGAGCGAATTAAATGGCATATTTTCTCAACACATTTATTCAGCTTCTTAGACGTGCCTTCTTTGGTTGTCTTCCGTTTTAATTTAAAAACCCTAACGTCTAAACCTGGCGTGTCCACTCCCGAGGCCCTTAGGTGTAAGAGCTGACCTTTTTCTGATCATCATGTTTACCTTCCGATTCCTTTTCATAAATCACTTTTTCAAAATCCCAGAAATGATGTTTCTTAGAGTCCTTCTGGGCAGCATATTCTTCAGTGTATCCCAACCGAGACATGCTATGCCAGACTAAAGGAATTCAGAGTTCATTGCACAAGTGGGGCAGAATATTATGATTGAATCTTTTGGAGGGGCGTTTTATATTTTGCTCATTTTTGGAAGTGTTCTGATTGAAAAGATAAAAGGAAATTCGTTTGATTGAGCATGTCCTTGGAGACTTTTTTTTTTTTTTAAATAATGCCTCATCCCAGAATCCAGAGTAGGAAATAAAATGTAAGATAGAAACCTTCTTTCAGCTTGGCGCCTGTGGCTCAAGTGGCTAAGGCGCCAGCCACGTACACCTAAGGTGGTGGGTTTGAATCCAGCCCGGCCTGCCAAACAACTATCATGGCTGCAACAACTAACAGGCATTGTGGCGGGTGCCTGTGGTCCCAGCTACTTGGGAGGTGGAGGCAGGAGACTCGCTTGAGCCCAGGAGTTGGAAGTTGCTGTGAGCTGTGATGCCACGGCACTCTACTCAGGGGGACACCTTGAGGCTGTGTCTCAAAAAAAAAAAAGAAAAAGAAACCTTCTTTCCACGTTCTCCCACCTTAGGACAGCCAGGACCAGTGAGGTAGGGAAGTCAGAAGTGGGAGACTTGATCTTAGAGGGGTTCCAATTTGAGGTATCTGTGGGAGAAAAAAAAAAAAAAAACGTTGAAGGCTACTCTTTTAATCTGGATAAAGTCATCTTATTAATGACTGTTGGGCTATGCGTTTAATATGTATCAGAATATGCCTTAAGACAGTGTCGATTTAGATATTAGTACCCACATGTAAGTAATGATTGCCTACTAACTAGGTGAGAGATTACTTTTTGAAAACAATTACTTTGTTTTTACTTTTCTTCAAACAGGCTGCTTGGCTCCTGAAAGCTGTTACCTTTATAGATCTTACTACACTTTCAGGAGATGACACGTCTTCCAATGTTCAAAGGCTCTGTTATAAAGCCAAACATCCGATCAGGGAAGATCTCTTAAAAGCTTTAAATATGCACGATAAAGGTAATGTTTGTTGTGTATAATCTGCCTGGTGTTTACCTGTTCATCATACTAATTACTAAATCTAAGACAACTGAGCTTCTTAAATGATAGCAGTGATAAAAATCAAGATAGAAACCTGTGTTCTATGTACATAGACAAATAATTGAGATTCATCCGTGAAAAACAGCAGGAAGAGAGTCTGAGTCTTGTTTTTAGGTCAGTTCTTCCCGCCCGTGGATTAAAGTTGCCAGTAGAGACTGCCTTTATATTTCTTTTCAATTCTTTTAGTTTTGAAAGTTGTCTTTTTTTTTTAATCTAGTGACTCTAAAATATTGATTCTGATTCCCAAGCTACATGTGAAAAAGCCAGTCTCATTACTTAATAATCACATCTCATGCATAAAGTATTTTCTGTGAGTAAATGAAATACTTTTGAAAATAAAATGCAAATCGGAAATATTGTATGCCTTATATATGAGGTTAGATCTCTCAAAGAGTCGTATTCACTCCCTTTGTACCCATGAGAGAAAGGACTTTCTAAAGTTGCCTTAAGTTTAGAATCCTAGCATTTATAGATGGAGGAGACCTCTGAGAACTGACCCTCCTCATTTTCTAAATAAAGAAACTGAGCCCTGCGAGGCTGGGGAGCCAAACCATCAAGTAAATGGCTTTCCATGGGGGGACATTTCATGGCTCCTGAGTGCCCATCTCCTGTGAGTGCAACTAGAGAGATGAACTGGCCCAAGGCAGGTATTTTTTTTTTTTTTTTTTTTAGAGACAGAGTCTCACTTTATCGCCCTTGGTAGAGTGCCATGGCATCACAGCACAGAGCAACCTCTAGCTCTTGGGTTTAGGCAACTCTCTTATCTTAGCCTCCCAAGTAGCTGGGACTACAAGTGCCCGCCAAAATGCCCAGCTATTTTTTGTTGCAGTTTGGCCAGGGCCAGGTTTGAACCCGCCACCCTCGGTATGTGGGGCCGGTGCCCTACTCACTGAGCCACAGGCACCGCCCCCAAGGCAGGTATTTTGTCCCAAATAATTTGCAGATAACTTATAGACTAAAACAACTCTACAGCTTTCGAAAGGTACTTGTTTCTTTCACGTTGGCACCACCCTCCCCCCTTACGGTACTTAAAAGTAACAACTTTGTGAGATGTTATGATATTGCTTTGCTTCATAATAGTTTATTTTTACTTTTAAGAGCTTATTCCTTAAAATGAAAGTTTCCAGCTTCAGATTTTATTATTCCTTGCAAAAGAGGGAGTATTGAGTAAACTATAGAGTAGTATTAGTTAAACGTTATTTTTCTGCCCCACCCTTTAAATTTCACTTTCATTTTTCTTCTTCTGTCCTCCTTCAAACTGTCCTTCTTTCAAACTGCCCCGTTTAAACGCTAGGTTTTGTTACCAACCTGAAATGAAGTCTTTTCAATGAGTCATGACCACCAAGTTTATTGGTCAGGCATTTTAAAAAATAGGATTATGTTAATCTCAAAGAGTAGCGGATCGAAATTGTTCCAATGATGGTGACGATGAGAAAATAATCCATGTTGTCAAGAATTAGAAGGCAGGGTGGAAAGTAAAAACTTTTTAATTTGTTGTGGCATCATGGGAAAATTATTTTTTTCTCTCATTTGATTTCTGCCAATGTTGTCGTATAAATAATAGTTTAAAGCATATTGTGTGAGCTGAACTTCAAATACAGTAGGCCGTTGCGATTTCTTTCTCATAGGCATTACTACAGCTGCCGTGTGTGTTTATCCTGCCCGGGTGTGTGATGCTGTCAGAGCACTCAAGGCTGCAGGCTGTGATATCCCTGTGGCATCAGGTAAAATTTGTTGCGGCTTTTGTTATTATTATTATTTTTTAAACAGGTTTCTGGTTCTTCAGTTCAGACACCAGGAAGTTTTGCACATAATTTTATAGTATGATTTAAAGTAGTTTAATATATTTAACTAGTTGCATTTATTCATGATTTTAGTATTTATTAATGTTTTAATAAGTAACAGATGTTATGTTAAGTTCCAAGAATATAAAACTGTGCAGAAAGCATCATTGTGGAGATAATTCATTGGGTCTTAAAAGATGAGAAGGATGAGAAGTTCACAACCTTGGTAAGGTAGGCAGTGGATTTTAGACAGCAGCACTGGCACATGTGCACATAGAGAAGCATGTGCAGGGAACTGAAATAGATTTGTAATTGTGGGCTCCAAAGCTGCGGCAAAGGGGGAGCTGCAGGAGTTGAAGCTGGAGGGAGAGAGATCAGGGCCGGATTGCAGAGGGTATCCATGCCATGCTGGGGCATTGGCTTTACCCTGATGATTGGGAAGACACTGAAAGGTCTGGCATGATCAGCTTCATGGCAGAGTTCAGTTTAGTAAATGTTACATAGGTCTGTGTATGTACATAAATGTATAGATTGATGGATAGGTACAACATTCGCGATTGTAGGGGTTTTTTGGGGGGAGAGGGATAGGACACAGGGTCTCTCTGTTACCCTAACTAGAGTGCAGTGGTGTCATATCACCATAGCTCACTGCAGTCTCAATCTCTAGGGAGGGGTCAAGTAATCCTCCTGCCTCAGCCTTGAGAGTAGCATATGCCATCATGTCTGGCTAATTTTTCTATTTTTGGTGAAAACAGGATCTTGCTTTTGCTCAGGCTGGTTTCAAACTCCTGAGCACAAACAGTTCTCCTACCTGAGCCTCCCAGAGTGCTAGGAATACAGGTGTGAGCCACTGCACCCAGCCGAGAGTCTAGTTTTAAAAGATGTTGCAAAGTTATCTTGGCTTAAAAAAATCAGTCTATACAGATCAATAATTTATTTTATTAGAGATTCATTAAAACATATTATGTAGTATTCATATGCAGTCTACATGTGAGGATTCCCAAAATATTTGGAGCTATACCTTTATAGACCCCAATTTTTCATCAGCCCCTGTCAGTTCAGTTTTTCCTTTATGCAACAGGGAAACATGCTTTCCTCTAAGGTGGCGGACCCAAGGAATTTAACCACCTCAAAAAACACAGTTGGGCTGGGGGCAGTGACTCACGTCTGTAATCCTAGTACTTTGGGAGGCCGAGGCAGGTGGATAGCTTGAGCTTGTGAGTTCAAGACCAGCTTGAGCTTGTGAGTTCAAGACCAGCCTGAGAAAAAAATGAGACCCCCTTCTCTACTAAAAATAGAAAAAAAAATAAAAAGCACAAACTGAGGCAAGAGTATTGCTTGAGCCCAAGAGTTGGAGGTTGCTGTGAGGTATGATGTTGCCATAACACCCTACTCAGGACAACAGCTTGAGACTGTCTCAAAAAAAAAAAAAAAAAAAAAGGGAACACAATAGGCTAGCTTTAGAAACAAGGACAGAATTAATGTTGTACATGTAAAATGTGTTACACGTAATAGTATTTCAAAAGTGTAGTTGTATTTTCATTTTCCTGTCCTTTTTACTTGGCTCTGCTCTCCCCAGTTATGCCCTACCCCAATTTTGTGTGCTAATTAGATGTCTCTACCTCCTGAATTCTCTTTCTTTTATTCTCATCTGCCTGGTTGGTTGTTCTGAGATAGGCAGTGGGAGAAACACATATTACAATTTGGTTACCAGCCAAAGAGGTTCTTGAATGAGTAGATCAAGATAAGACAGATTAGTTAGGAGATCTAGAGTGAGTGGGCTGGATAACTAGTGTTCATCAAGACGGAATTACAACTACTATTGTATGACTACCATTGAGAAGATATTGTCTTAATTGCTGGTTACTTAGTGCCCCCTCATGATCATCTCTGCAGCAACTTAATTTCAGGTCTTCCAGCGCATATAGTATTAATATTTGTGGTAACATCAACACAGGAAGAGAGAGCATTCTCTTTCCTCACACTTACGTTATACATATATGTGGTATTATTAACTGTCATTATTGTTTTGGTCTCTAAATGTTGGCTTTCTTTTTGCTCTGAAATTCTTTATTGAGCTACTAACCTGACCTAATGTGTTTTTTTCCTCTCTTCCTCCTCCCTTCCTTCCCTCTGCTAGTGGCCACTGGCTTTCCAGCTGGACAGACTCATTTAAAAACACGATTAGAAGAAATCAGACTGGCTGTGGAAGATGGAGCTGCAGAAATTGACGTAGTAATTAACAGGAGCTTGGTGCTGACAGGCCAGTGGGAAGGTAGGTCTGTGCTTTGCCTAAGAGGGAGTTGTGGTTGGTCTGTGCCTTGCCTAAGAGGGAGCTGCAGTTCTTCCTTGAATCCCCTACTGGGGACCTGAGAACAGGCACTGTGTGTGTAGGTCACTGTTCCAGGTTACAAGTCACCAGATCAGAGGGTGGCTAGGGTTGTGGCGCCTTCTGCCTCTCCTGAGTCTGGCAGTTGTCTTCCTGAATGGACTTTTTGGAACACTTTGGGTGCTTAGGTGAATGGTTATTTCCATGTAATAACTTCATAAACTTAAAAAAAATTGCTTTTACTGATACGGTTTTCCTTTAGAAGGGAAAAGTTACTACTATTCTATACTATTCTGTTAATCCAGCAGTTCTCAATCTGTGGGTCGCGACCCCTTTGGACTGTATTACAGGGTTGCTGCATTAGGAAGGTTGAGAACCACTGTGTTAATCAAATCACTCTAGGCAAGTCTCTTAAGCAAAGTTTTAATATGTTGGAGTAAGCATCTTTTTTATGTTATTTTTTTGTGGACTTTGAGGATGTGGCATTATTAATAATTCTGCAAAGATTGATTTTACTCCTCATATCTTCATAGCCATGAATATAATTTCATATTCACCATTCAGATTAATGATTCACTATCATGCCAGATTACAATAAGACATTGCCTCTTCCAGTAACAATCTATTGTTCTGATAAGTAAATATTAAAGAATCAAATAGAGTTGACCTAAATCATAAATACATTTTGTTTACTAAAGATGAAATCATTTGATAGCTAAAATAATTACTATTTTGTTTTTTCAGAAAAAGTCATTATAACAAGTGGTTTAACTAAAAATTTTTAATGAAATCACAAGTTAAAGCCAAGATAAAATATTGGCTCTTTCTATATGTGTATGTCAAATAAAAGGCATATTATATTCTAATTATGGAGGTTATCTTTACTCACTATTAAAAATTCCCACTAGTCATAAAGTAGATAGAATGATCTGACCCCTCGGAAATAATCCTTGGCAACACTGAGTGCTTCACTTCCCAAGCTTCATATATACACACATGCTGTCCTCACCCTGTTTTAGAGGTTTAAGAAGAAATCGGATTATACTTAATATATTTTTCCTTCACCTGGGACGTGGCCAGTATCTAATGGATAGCTTTCTGTGTTTCTTTCTGTCCATCTGTATTTACCTGCAAAGACTTGATCTATTTGTAAAGCTTACTTCCACTGTTTATCAATTATGAACTGCTTTTGGTTATGAAGTAGCAAGTATTCAGCCAATAGTTTAAATAATCAAGGATTTATTCCCTTACATGAAGTCTAGATATAGGTATGTCAGGGGTGTGTGATGACCCTGCAAAGTGCTTGGAGAGCTGGGCTACTTTCATCTTTCAGTTCCAAGGCCTGTGCCCCTACTATCGTGTACAAGGGTACCTCACTATCTGAGAGGACTTCTAAAGCTGCAGCCTGTAGGTATTTTCCAGATGATAGGAAGGAAGGGCTTGTCCTATGTGAAGGTCTCACAGCACCTTTGCTTATTGGCCTGAGCTGAGTTACATGGCAGACTGGGCTGCCAGTGAAGCTGGAAGAGGTAGGTTTTAGCTTGGAGGATTAGTTCTGTTCCTATGCGTTCCCGTTGTTTCCCCCTCTGGCCCTCCAGGACTCATCAGCATTTATAATTATTGCCAAATTTAAATTCCTGACAGTTCATAAATATCATTTTGTACATTTAATTTGTATTCCTTTTCTTATTATTGTTCATGTGTGTTTTAGCCATTTGCAGTCTTTCTTAAAAGGTTTATTTTAAATAGATATCCCTGTCCCTCTGTATTAATTTTGCTTATCTGCTTTTACCCACAGATTTCAGTTAAGATTTAAACCTAGAATAAGAAGAAAAAGTGAGCATAATATTTAAAACAAATCTAGAAACAAGCTTTATGTGATTTAGTTGGATAAAAACCTGTATGTCCTTTATATCTTTTATTAAGCAATTATAGAGAGAGCAATATAGTTTGTATTATAACTTATATCTTTTATTAAGCTATTGTAGATATAGAAATATAGTTTATATTTTACTGCTAATTGGAAAATAAAATACAATAGGAGGTAGGTTTTTAGGTAATTGACTGTCCCTTAATGAAGTAGGAATGGTTGTTTTTAAGAACTGATAATTTCCTAATAATAGGCATTTATGCAAAATACAATAACACATCTTTGTCCTAAACCATACTTTTCTATTAACTCTTTTTTATAGTGTTAATAACCTCTTGACCAAAAACAAATTGAAAAGGAACAATTTGATACTAGAAATTTAATTCCAAATATAATAGAAACCTGCAGTGAACATAGGACTTTTTTCACTGCAGTATTTTATCCTAATTTTGATCCTCAATTTGATTACATACTGTATTTTTCAATGTTATGTTTACTATAATATGGGCCTAAAATTAATTTCTTAGGTTTGCTGATGTCAGTGTCTATCAGGTTGTTACATTTTCAAATCCCAGGCTCTTTGCCCTGTATACTGAGGTTTGCAGGGTAGATGGTAGCAAGAAATCCCATTTCTTAAACCTGGCCTACCCATTTGTCACAAGTGCCAGTTTAGGACATGAACTCAAAGAGGAGACCGAAAGGATCTCACGTTCCTATCCTTGGATTCTTCTTGTTAACCATGTAAAATCTCTATTTGCTTCACACTTCTAACTCCTCCATCCTTGACCATTACCAAATGACTTACCTGTTACTTCTCAGAGAAAATAAAAACCATCCGCTGGGAATTCTTCCACGGTCTCTGTATCAGGGCTGCTTTGCTCTGCTTCCTTCTTTTTATCTTCCTCCCAAATTCAGTCTGTCTGTGTCATGGCTCTCAGCACCTGCATGTTCAGAAGCCTGACTCCATTAATTGGCCATTTTTCCTCCTGTATCTGCAGCCTCTCTCTATGAGCTCAATCCCATTAGGCATTTAAACTACTTAGCTTCTCTTAGCCATTCAAAGCAAAAGGCCAACATTCCCTTCCATCCCCAGCCAAGTCTTCCCTTCATATCTTTTTGATTAAAATTACTAAAGGAGTCATCCTGTTTGTCTCAGCAACACATTTGAGCCAAGATACTGATGACCTTCCATTTCACTCTGCCCAGGGGATATTCCTCAGTTATTTATTTTGCTTTACCAGTCAGCAACATTTACCCAGTGGACTATTCCTTCCTTTTGCGAACACTGTCTTGTCATCATTTTGGTGACCACATTGCTGAGGTTTTCCTTTGTTCCTCGTAACTCCTGTGTCTTCTTTGTGAACTCCTCTGTCTCCTCTGTCACCTCTGAAGCTTCCATGGTCCTGGGTTCTGTCCCAGTGAGACATCTCCTCAACCTCTGCAGACTCTCCCTTGGAAGCTTCACCTCTTGGCTGATTTTAGTTACATCGCTTAGGCTGAAGATGATCAAACCTGAGTACCAGAACCTGGGTCTACCTGACTCCAGAACTCATATTCGTTTTCCCACTAAAACCATGTTGCTTTTCATCCATTATTTTCAGGTAAGTAAACAATCCCAGTCAATGAATGAATCTTGACAAAATTTGGAGAAATCTAGCTATTGTAGAAAAACATCTGTTAAAAGGATTGAATTCCCATGAATTTGAGTGGGCCAACCATTGCTGGAGTCACAGTGAGACCCAGAACAAGCCCGGCAGGTGTAGGCTGTGGAGTCGGGAGCACCAGTGAAGCTGGAAGAGTGAGAGCCGAGTTCTACATTAGATACTGCTTGGTTGGAGTCCTGGCTATACCATTAGTAACCCCTTTCTCTTGCATAGGTGGGTGCTTCTCTGTGCTGTCTATTCTTTCGATGTAAAATGGGGATAAAGACACCCACCTCACAGGATTACAATAGGGATGAGTTTAGATAATGCGTAGGAAATGATCATTCTTTCACCTGGCCCAGACGAATCCTCTGTGCCAGCTGCAATTGTGCCTCTCCTTTCGCCTCACCTTCCTTCTCCTTCTGATGATGGTTACGGTCTGTTCTCAAGGGCAGTAACCACACAGTGTAGGCGTTAAGTGAGTTCAGTGGAACTTTAAAGATTCCAGGTTGTGATTTTGATAATTTACACCAAGTCCTTGGGCAAACACTTCTCTTCTCTCTGCCTCCATTTAAATAAGGTACAAATCAGGAGACAGAACTTAATGAGCTTCTAATTCTTTAGCACTCACTGCCTTGACCCATGATTTTAGGTTTAGTGTTTTTCATTCTCGGTGGATATTATTCTCATGATCAGTACAAGTAATACAATATTTCTTTATGCTGATATTGAAGTTGTCATCCAAGTTGCTGTCCTTAAACAGTTCTTTATTTCTTTTTTAGACAGTCTCACTTTGTCACCCTCGGTGGAGTGCCATGGCCTCATAGCTCATAGCAACTTCAAACTCTTGGACTCAAGTGATCCTCTTGCCTCAGTTTTCTGAGTAGCTGGGACTACAGGCGCCCACTACAACACCTGGCTGTTTTTAGAGGCAGGGGCTCCTTCTTGCTTAGGCTGGTCTCTAACCCCTGAGCTCAGACAATCCACCCACCTCAGCCTACCAGAGTGCTGGGATTATAGGTGTGAGTTCCTGTGCCTGGCCTTTTAAGCACCTCCCTCTTTTTTTTTAAGACAGCAGAGTCTCATTTTGTCACCCTCGGTAGAGTGCTGTGGTGTCATAGCTCACAGCAACCTCAAACTCCTGGGCTTAAGCGATTCTCTTGCCTCAGCCTCCCATGTAGCTGGGACTACAGGTGCCCGCCATAATGCCAGGCTATTTTTAGAAATAAGGGTCTTGCTTTTGCTCAGGTTGGTCTCAAACCTGAGTGAGCTCAGGCAGTCCATCCACCTTGGCCTCCCAAGTGCTGGGATTACAGGCATGAGCCACCATGCCCAGCCTTTTTTAGGCATGTTTTAAAAATTAAATGCATTCTGTGCTCTGTGAATATACAGAGGTGTTCTTTTAACTTTTTAAAATGACCTCTCTCTGTTGC